ATAATGTTTTGTTTCTTTCTAAAAGTGTTCTTCTGTCACTTTGAGCAAAACAATGAGTATTGTTGGGGGAGTAGGCATGTGTTATTACACAAAGCTGTATACTTTGCCATCCCTACAGGCACTTCAAGACATGAAGATGACTCAACTGAGAGAGGCTGGAACATTCTGTTAAGAAGATCAAACAGCCAATCTGCTTGCTTGCTCTATCTAGTGATCATTCTTAGAATCATTCAAACCTGAGGCAAAATGCTGCTTAAACAAATCTGAAATAAGAATTCAAACAGACATGTATGTTTTTCTTTGAGATGTGCATTTTAGTTGCATTCAAGTGAATGTAAAATACATCTTGAATTATGACATAATACTGGATTTAATAACTGCTAAAATTAGATGCACTTCTGGCTTATGATACACACACACACACACACACACACACACACACTGCTCTGCTGCATCTGAATGGGTTTGTTAGGACTAACTAAATCCTGAACAAACTCCTTTTATTCTGTAAATATAAACAATAATTATTTGTTTTTGCCCAACAAGGCTTTCATTATACCACTGACATTTGATACATTCATTTTCTGCGTTTGAGCTGAGGGGATATTGTTTTTGTTTGGTTGGTTGTTTTACAAGTGTTGTAACTTTAGTTGAATGCAGTGTTGATCATTGTATGTTTCTGGGCTGATATAAATATGATGAACCATTTAGAAGAATGCAAAACAAACAAACAAACAAAGAAATAATCATCGTGTACTTTCGGACTGATATAAATATGTGAATCCATTTATAAGAATGTAAAATGAATGAATAATCATTGTACTGATATGAGGATCCACTTATAAGAATGCAAAATAAATAAATAAACAAACAAACAATATATGTGTGCTATTGGACTGATATAAATATGTGGATCCATTTAGAAGAATACAAACAAATAATAATTATGTGTTATTATTGGATATATATGTGGATCCACTTATAAGAATGCAAAATAAACAAACAAACAATATGTGACACTGGAGCACAAAACCAGTCTTAAGTCGCTGGGGTATATTTGTAGCAATAGCCAAAAATACATTGTATGGGTCAAAATTATCGATTTTTCTTTTATGCCAAAAATCATTAGGATATTAAGTAAAGATCATGTTCCATGAAGATATTTTGTAAATTTCCTACCATAAATATATCAAAACTTAATGTTTGATTAGTAATATGCATGGCTAAGAACTTCATTTGGACAACTTTAAAGGCGTTTTCTCAGTATTTTGATTTTTTTGCACCCTCAGATTCCAGATTTTCAAATAGTTGTATCTAGGCCAAATATTGTCATATCCTAACAAACCATACATCAATGGAAAGCTTATTTATTCAGATGGGTCAATTTAAAAAAATTGACCCCTATGACTGGTTTTGTGGTCCAGGGTCACATATCTGTGCTGTTGGACTGATATAAATATGTGGATCTATTTAGAAGAATATAAAACCAACAAATAATCTTTATGTGCTATAGGATATAAATATGTGGATCCACTTATAAGAATGCAAAATAAATACACGAATACGCAAACAAACCAACGAAAAATCAATATCTGTGGGACTGATATAAATACGTGGATCCATTTAGAAGAATACAAAACAAACAAATAATCATTGTATGCTATTGGAATGATATAAATATGTATGTATTAGAAAGAAAAGAAAAAAAAAAAATATATTACATGTCCATGTTAAATTAACCCTTAATTAAAAATATTTATTGTACACCTATAAAAGTGCAGTTTACTTTCTAATCTGTGAATCTCCTGAACTGATGTAACAGCAACAAATGTTCTCCTTGTAACCATTCCAATCTTCTGAATGCAATTAAACAGTTCTGGGACATGTTCCCCATCAAAGGTGAATCTAGTTCAGTCCAAGGTCAACTTAAGTCAAAGAGCTGATTAAACACATGATCTCCCGCTTGTGTTTGTTGACAATGAACCTCATTTTGGATGAGGTTTCCTAAAGTCTTCTGTCTCATGTGAATCAATGCTCTGATGTCAAATCGCAATCAGGTTTCAGCTGTCGTGTTCTCAAATTGCGGTTCCTGGGATGGGCCATCTTAAGTACAAATTTCTTATCATTCAGGTAAATTGAGTGTAATCTGCCATAATGACTGAATATATGACTTGGCGGTTGATTATTATATTAATAGTATTATTTACACTCTACAAAATGCTGGGTTAAATACAACCCAGTGCTGGGTAAAATAGGGACTAACCCAGCAATTGGGCTGTTTTGACCTAGCGGTTGGGTTACTAGCCAGAAGGACATTTAACCCAACCGCTAGGTCAAAACAGCCCAGTTGCTGGGTTTGTCCCTATTTTACCCAGCACTGGGTTGTATTTAACCCAGCATTTTTTAGAGTGTATTATTAAATAATGAAATTAGTATTTTATAAAAATAATGAAAAGAGAAAAATATCTTTATTTACATAGATATCCTTAAATCAAATGTTTAATTTCAGAAGGAAAAAAAAAATCAAACCCAATTAGACCTGACATTAAAAAATGAGCCTTGTTCACCTTTTCCTGGCAATCTGAATTCAGCCCTGCTAGACGTTTGGGGACAGACTAACCTGCCATGCATTAGAGATAAAATCCTTTAAAGTGTGGGGTCAGTGACCCATCACTGACTGTGCACTTATGCCACTTACTGCACAGCTCTCCCACGGGATGATGTCTGGATGGCTGGGAGAAATATATAGACCATAAAGGAACAAAAACTGTCATAAAGCTTTGATTAAGGCCCAGGTTAAAAGACACAGGCAAGCGAAACGGCTGAGTTACGATGGCAGTCGAGGCTAGCATTATTGTTCCCGTGACAGAGCTCTTAGCACGGGTGGCTCATTGTAAACAGCTCTTTTCCGAGGAGCAGACAGTCATTAATCGCCGATGCAATCCCAGACTCCTCCAGTGTACCCTCGACATCAGAAATCACACTGCCGCCACCAGCACATTCGCTAAAGCGTGAAAGGTTGCGACTCTGTCTACTCTCAGCAGCTTGTGACTCTTCTTATTTTTACCCTATAATGGCTGACGTGTCAGTTTAACAGCTATGAACCCCATGACCATTGTCTTTGCTACTGTCTCTTGCAGGTAAAAATATACTCATAAAATGTCAGTATATTAAATTAATAGTTCTAAAGCAGTTTTAATAGCTCCATTATTGTGTTTTTAGGATGTTGTATACAAAGGTTTTGGGCTCATTAGTCAGTAATAATGTTTCTGATAGTCATGCTGTCCGGGCATTGGATCAACCTTTTTTTTTGTTTTGTTTTTTTCACATTTTCTCAATACACTGAGAAAAATTGTAATCTAAAAATAGCAACAGCTAAGTAAATTGATTTTAAAAGTCAAAAATAATATTACTGCCGAATCAACCTAAATACATTAACTTATAACAAAACTACATTTATGTCTTAAATTAGGCAGAAATAGCTCTTTAAGGTAACGATTGCAGGCCAACACTTTTTCAGTGCATAGTTTTACCCTTAAAAGAATCTAATTTTAAAACTATATGGTTAATTTGGTAACACATTAAAATAAGGTCTTATTAGTTAATGCTGGTTAATGCATTAACTAATATTAACTAACAATTAGCAAAACATTTGTTAGAATATTTATTAATCTCTGTTAATGTAAAAAAAATGAAAATAATAATGTTAGCTCAGATTCATTATATAATATTAACAGATACAGCTTGTGTTTTTTTTAATGTATTAGAAAATGATAAACTTAACATGAACTTAATACATGCTTTAGAAGTATTTTTGGTTGTTAGTTAATGGGATTGGACGATATTAATAAAAAAAGACGATATTTTGATTTTTTTGTGACCAAAGAGTCAAAGCCATTGACTTCCGTTGTATTTTTTTTTTCTGTACTATGGAAATAAGTGGCTATACGTCAACTGATACATTCTTCGAAATATCTTCTTTTGTGCTCAGCAGAAGCAAGAAACTCATACAGGTAAGGAACAACATGGCAGTGAGTAAATTATGTATTTGGGTGAATTATTCCTTTAACTAATCAAGTTAAACTAATGGAACCTTATTTTAAAGTGTTACCAGTAATTCTCTATGTATCCTATTTTATTTTGTTTTCCAACATTTGACTGTACACATTGTGAAATAGTTTTGTATTACCAGCACCTGTTTGCAGTTGGAATTAATAGAAAGTACTGAATGTCACAGAAATAAACAAAGGTATTAGTTTGTTTGTCCTTCGATGCCACCTGCATCACATTACGTCTGCCTGGCAATTATGTGCAGACAAAGGGGTCAGAGCTTTGATTCTGTAACACCAGCTTCTAAATTCAACACTTGCAGGCAGACATAATCCAACCAATAATTTATTTACCCCTGACACTTTCATTATTTAGTAAGCACAGAGGCACTGGCAAGATGTGCACAATTAACAGACCTGGATAACTGAGCTGGGACGTTTGGTGTCTTTAGTCTGGGAGCATTACGTCTCCTGTGAGAAAAAATAAAAATGTCAATCAAAATCATTTAAGCATAATATACAACAGGTTTGTTGTTCATCAAATATGTAAATGAAAAATGTTCTAAATATTTGAGTGTAGCTATATATAATTTATTATATAATTAATTAATAATAATAATTCAAGTGTTAGCTTCATAATAAAATCATAATAATTTACCTGAACTGTTTATTTAGTTGTCTAATTGTCACTATAATAATTGAAACAGTTGAGAATTTATATCTTATGATCATATATCATTTTTATGAACAGCAGTTTATGACTAACTCGCTGCTGCGAACAACAATAACAACTTGAAGTCAGACAGATGTTGGTTGGTGTTGCTGTCCAGACGCCACACCCACTGGCCCTGACCCCGCCCCGCATGCCCAGCTCGCCCCGCCCCTACGAGGGACCGCAATGATTTAGAAGTTCAGGAATCCCACGTGACGTCACCAAAGGGTGATGTAATGCTTCTCTAAATAGATCGTATTGTAACCGTTCCTCAGTCCAGCGTGGTTCCTTCAGAAAGTGTGGTGCATCTTCTCCAGACTTCTGCGGTGAGTTGTTTGAGTTGTTTTTCATACCGATACATCCATTCCTTAGCATTCACATGCACTTGCCGAGTCGGTGCCATTGCAATAATCATTCTCTTGAGCCTGAAGATGTGACAAGTTGTTAGGGATTCACATGAACGAATTTCAAATACTTTTACAGAGTCTGTCTGAACGCGTCTATTTAAGTCGTTCACGTTTCATGCAGAAAACACACTGATCATGACTTATTCTTTTCGGATCTCCAGGGATTGTTTGCATGTAACAGCTTTGCGCTTTGAATACCCAACCAAATTGCGCGTTAAGGGATCGTGTCGCATTAAACAGCTAGCTCCTTCTTGATTCTGATCTCAAACTTATTTTGCTGTATGTTGCAAAACTTTACGCGGAGTTATTAGTTTGCGCGCATGACGCTGTCAAACACGATCGCTATGTTACTACAGTTTTTACTTTGCTTGTGCGTGCATGTGTTTGTATATGCATGTTTGTGGCAAGCCATTTTAACAGTTATTCCTTTAACTAACTCAATTTGTATTACTAGTATTTATTTCTAAATGCTAGTAAATAATGTAATCGAGACAAGTAGCCTGTATTTCATAATTTTATTAGAAACTACTACACTACTTATAGCCTAGCCTACTTTAGTCATTAGTAACTATTCAAACAGTAGGCTATCTGTTCTAGCTTCTCTAGCATTAGTAATGGCATAGATACATTCATTATAGACTAGTGTTTTTATCTTATAAGTAAGTAGCTATTAAGACAAGGCATCAGCGAATATGAGCACAAATACAGTTACTTGTTAGAAAATTAGAAATGTTACTTGTAATAATTAAAATCAGTGCTAGTGTATCATAAATATGTGCTGAGGATTAATAAATAAGTACAGCAGTCAATCTGGAATAGATAGCAGGAGTAGCTATTGTTAGATAGTTATTAGTAACTTACAAATATGAACAATAAATAGTAAGTGAAAACAGTAACAGTTGGAATGGGCTTCACCAACATAATATGGAATACATAACAGTGTGAAATGAATACTTGATATCTAAACCAGATCCAAATCGAACCTAGTAGCAAAAATGCAATTTGATTCCAGTAACAATGGAATAGTTAATCGAATAAGCAATGAATATGTACTAGTCACTAATCAGAAAATATACTTTTCACTATTTGATTACTTAATAGTTTAAATAAGAAAGTAGTTTAAAGGAATACATGTTAAATTGGCTTGCCACAGCGTGTGTGTGTTGTGTCCCGTTCACGCTGACACACAAGTGTTCTGCATTGTTCCTCTGAAGCGGTCCGGGAGAATTAGTTTGTAACGTTGAACCTGTTTTGTTTCATTCATCAACGTGCAGAAACTGAGGAACTTAGCTTGTCTCTGAAAACTACTGCACCTCTATGTATTATCCCGTCTCGTTCAAGAGATCGCGACTGTCAGAGGGGTCCCAGTCCAGTTCGCTCTTATATGATAAAAGAATGCTTTGACTTAAAGTATGCACGCGTGTTTGAATCTTCGCACTGAATCACACGTTTTATTTTGTAATATTGTAACAAGAAAGCAATGTATCGAAGCATGACGTCACAATGCAGGCCAGTCGGACTGTTTGATGAACCGTCGAGATATTGAGGGTTTTAGTGGTTTGTGCTGACGAGGCAAACTCTTTTCTAAAAGCCTAAAGGTTTACAAGATTTTAATCCACTGACGCGAAGTGTGTCTGGGTTATTTTTTTACAACACAAATAAATATTTATAGGAAATGTATAGGCTAAAAATATATAGGCTTTATTAAGCGTTCCGTTTACAGATAAACTAGCTTCATGCAGGGAGGAAAATTAAAATACGAAGTTAATTCTATCTCATTGCTTCTAACATGGAGATTAAATGAGTAGTTCACCTAAAAAAAATCTGCATCATTTACTAACTTTCAAACCTGTATTAGTTTCTGTGGAACACAAAAAGAGATGTTAGGCAGAATGACAGAATGAAAATAAATGGTAACTGAATCTGTCAGTCCCTAGAATTCTATCTCCTTTTGTGGTCCAAGTAAGAAAGTAAGTCATATGAGTTCGGCAAAACATGAGACAGAGAAAATTATTCAGTTTATAGCTTGATTTATTTGAACCATTTATTATAATTATCTGTGAAATACCATATTGTCACATGTGAAACAAGTCGTATCTAATAAAACTGAGTGACTGGTATTGGAAAAATGTCTATATGGCCATTATAAAGATTTTTGTGCTCTCTGGTTTAATTAATCCAGCTGACTAAGTGAATTACACTGAATGGGAAAATTTAATAAATATATTTTCTATACATAAAATTTGCTTTATAATATATAGTGTATGCAGGTTTTCCTCTATGTGTTTGACAAAATAAAAAAAAAGTTTGATATGTAGTGTATGCAAACGTGTTTAATAAAACAAGTTTAAAATTTTGCATGCAAATCACCATTATTGGTGTATGCTAACAAAGCAGTGAAAACCTTTTTAATTTTAAATTTGATCACAAATGGCATTAGCTGTTACTATTTTCATTTTGCCGTCACTTTTGTTCAATGAACAACAACAACATTCCGATACATTCATATTTCAAATGTTTGTACCTACGATATAAAAGTCAGCCTGAAGTTCTAGTCTCTGTAAGTTTCTGTTTGTTAAGATGTGATGACTGACAGTGATTGAAGGTTACCTTTGTGGGGCCCCTTCGTCTGTTCATTATGAGAGGTTTATGGCATCCTTTGCATTGTCTGTATGTTTCTTATTCCCTGTGCTGATCCTACCTTGAACCTTTGCTGCCGGAGGCCTGCAGAGGACGGGGGGGGGAGGTTGGATTTGAATTGCAGCGCAAGTTTGTGCTTGCTGTAACCTTCACCACCCTCCTCCTCCCCTCGGCCTGTGCACCATACTGTTTGAATTCAAATGTGTACCAGAGGAGAAAGTTCCTCACCGGTTCCCTGTGAAACTGTACTCCGGTCCCCTAATTCTCCTCGGCCGCCACATCGGGCCATTCTAAATTTGAAGTGTAATGAAATTTCCTGTGTTAAATGAAAACACTGGTGAAATAAAAGCCAAGCAGTGTATGACCACCGGTGAGCAAACATCTCACACCTGGCCTCGTGTCACATGGGGATATTGAGCAGTTTAGGTGGCTAAAAGACTTGCTTGAGGGTGGAAATGATACGGTAATATTTTTCATGAAAATGAATGAAGTGCATAATCGTATGTTTAAATTAACAGATTTGATGACAGTCTTTGTAGTACAGATTTCACATGTTGGAGAACTTACATAGTGTGAAATACTGCTGCAGGGGCCTGATTGTGTTGCACTGTTGGTTTTGCTTTTGGAATCTGGCCAGATGTGATATCAAAAGACGGCATATCTTAGGTCTGTTTGACAATGCAGGGACACAAAAATTACAATACATTTTCAAATCTGGACTGGTACAAAGAGAAGTTTGTGAAGTTTAAGGCTAGATAGGGACACGGCAACATGTTCCTCTCTAGGGTGAAGTGTTAAAGTCAACATGAAATCAAAACTGACTGTATTTACTTTTTTAAAACACATTTTTGCTTATCGTTTTGAATGATTCATTCAGCACCTGATTCCAAAGAAAAAATGTTTGTTCTTGGTAATCTTTCATCAAAATATAATGACTTACTCCACCTCTGAAACATCATCTGTTGTTTGAAGAGTTTTAAATAGAAACACCACACCTGATCAATTCCTGATGGATAAAATTAAGTCCTGTCCCACATTTCCATCTTGTTGAATCCTATTTCACTCAGAAATATGTCAAGTTACGGAAGTAAAATGTTCACTTTAATTTGCTTAAAGGAATAGTTCACCCAAAAGTGAACTTTCTGTCATTCTCATTGACTCACACTCATTTTATTCCAAACCCGTATTGACTTTCATGGAACATAGACAAAATATATTTGGGAAAATCTTGGTTACCAAGATTCTTCAAAATATCTTCTTTTGTGTTCTGTAAGATTATGTAGTAATACAGGTGTGCAACAACGTGGGATGAATAAATGATGACCGCATTTTCATTGTAGGTGAACTGTCTCTTTAATTTACCAAAAATGAGTGCTGGAAAAACTGGACAATCTCATCCAGTGGCGGAGGAGTTAAATACTGAACAGCCAAAACCACCATTTTCAAATAGCAATTAACAATTAGAAAAATTATCCAGGAATAATACAGATACCGTAAAGACTTGTGGACAGAGACACAACTTTCTGAGAGCTGATAAGCGAGTGACGGAGAGAGAGAGAGAGAGAGACAGAAAACAGAGTGTTAGTGACTTGTCATTTAGCAGACGTGTTCTTGATGTCAGTTCGCTTACAGAAACACCCTATCCAGACCATGTGTCCCCAAGGGCCGCGTGTCAGAAGCCGCCTGGAGGGGCTCTGTCCCACGGCTGGACTGTAAGGAAAAAGATGTCTGGTTAACATAACGGCAAATTTGCATGTTTTGACTGCATGGGAGGAAACAGTTGGCTAGACCAATCGGACAGGAAAACAAATGCACTTGCAAATCGTGTATGAAAGCGTTCACACAGCAGAGCTCATGCATATCCAGGTCTGAAGCATTTGAATTCATACTCTTCATGTTTTCATCTTTCAAAGTTTCGAACATGTTTATTTTCCACGCAGTTGGAAAGTGTTTGTTCGCTGTCTAAGCAGTGTGTCAATACGTAGCCACAGTCATTAGTCTGTGTTTTGCTGCTGTATATGAAGGGGACTTGACTCTGGCTGTCATGGACTATTACAGCTGTGTCTCATTAGGCTGTTGTAGCCCATAATACTGTTATTCTTTCGCACAAAACTTACATAAGGGTGCTGTAAAATTCCCAAAACAGGTGTTAGAAACACTGGTAAAGTTTATGATCACCTGTGATGCACGACATACAGCTAAATTCTACAAAAGTGTTTTCACTGTTGCGATAAAATAATCATAAGCATTTGCTGGCATCTTATAATCTGGCCCATACAGAGCACTGCAGAAAGTTTTTTTACTTGAATCTTTTGGTAAATTTGACAATGTTTTAGCTACCAAAAATGGTTTAATTTAGTTCCAGTTTCAGTGTTAGGGAAAGTTATTTTTAAAAGTAATATTGCGTTACTCTGTAAAAATTTAACTAATTGCGTTAGTTACATTTTTATGGAAGGTAATGTGTAACCTTACATTGGCGTTACATCTGGGCCGGACTTGCTTGTTTGTTTTTAATATGAAAGTTCCATTTTTGGCAAATGTAAATTCATGCTTTTAATGGCTTTTCCAACCAAAAGTGAAATTAATAAGCCTCATGCTAAAAGAAATTTTAATTCACATCTGTAAATTAGAGGGCGCATCATAAAGAAAAAGGCAAGAAAGTTAAACACTCTTCAGCAGTTAAAAAAATTAAACACAAATGTTGTTTATATAAATTAAATTTGCTTATTAATATGCTTGAATTAGATCAAAGGTCAGCAGCAAAGACATTAGTTAATAAAATGGGATTAAATACATAGAAGATATTTGTGTTAACATTTAATTATTGCAGATTTGCATCATATTCTGAGTTTGCATTTGATTATTTTTATTCATTTTGAAGAATACTGAATCTGTGTTTGTGCAAGTGAGATGAGTAAATGCATGTTCAGATTTAGTCTAGACCTACTGTACCCAAGTTTACACAGCAACACACAACGCCCGATTTCTCTAAACTTGGGGACAAGAGAGCTGTCAGTCAATAAATGAGAAAACCAAGTAACTGGAATTGCTTATTTGAAAAAGTAACTCCGATATTTTCTTGTAAATTAAAAAGTAATGCGTTACTTTACTAGTTACTTGAAAAAAATATTCTGATTACGTTACTCCCAACACTGTCCAGGTTACACATTTTACCCTATTCAAATCAAACACAGAATTCCATTGACCAAGAAAAAAAAAACGCCATTGAGTCAACCCTGGCCTGCTTTTTACATGCTCATAGATTTATTTTAAGAATGCAGGGGTGAGAAGAGGAACGTACAGTCAGAATCACACACCCAGGCACCCTATAGATCATCACTAGTTTAAAAGAATGAGCCGCCCTTGAGACTGAAGCACAAATGGTGCCTGATATATTCCACAGCATCGCACTCTGATCCCCATGGCGACAGTAGTAGAGGGCTCAGCGTGGGCCCACATAAGAAAACCGGTGGCAAACTACATCCCATCATCATCAGAGGAGGAGCGGCCCGATTACACTCCATGTGCGTGAAACTGAATGGCTGGCATACCATTCCATTGTCAGTCTGTCATCCATGGCATTTAGCAGCATCATGGCACTGAGGAAGGGATTCCAGGGCTCATGGTGAGCTGTAATGGAGAGAGAGATTTGTCATTGAAATGTAATCACCTCTTGTAAAACGGACACTAGAAATAGTTCAGAGTTTTGTCATTGTATTGAAACATCTTTACCCTTTTTTCCCCTCTACATAATTTATCACACTGTCAGTGTTGCCAATGTATTATTGCATAGGGGCAACTATATTTCACCATTAACAATTTATTTTAAAACTGACCTGGGTCAGTTATTATAGTAATATATTAAGTTATTATAGTAGTATAGTTAATATAGACTTGACTTGACTTGAATATAGTATAAAGACAGGGTTGTACAAAATGAAAAAATGAAAAAAATCTCAATGAAAGGATGAAGACAAGCTTAATTATATCATAAAGATACATTATATCATAATATAGTAAATATGATAAAATATTTACTATAAATATAATTAATTATTATAAAATAAAAATAAATATATGAAATAAATAAATAAATACATTATTTTTAATATAAATCAAAGTATATAGTACATAGGAAATTATACATTGATAAATGTTTTTTTAACACACACACACATATATATATATATATATATATTAGTGTTGTCAGCCGATTAATCGCATACAAAATAATCCTATTTTTCTTAAATATATACATGCATGTGTGTGTATTCATGTATACATAATAATATTTACTATAAATATACACAGTACACACATATATATTATGTAAATAAAAACTTTTATTTTGGATGCGATTAATCACGATTAATCGTTGCCCAGCACTAAGCTTAATATAAAATTTTATAGCTACTAATTTTTCATTCTTGTTCTGTAAATATATATATATATATATATATATATATATATATTATAAAGTACATTGTAGGTGTTTTACTTGGTGCTCAGACTACATTAAATTATTAAAATTTATCATTTTTACTTTTATTAGATTGTATAAAAGATTTCAAAACAATATGAAGCCAACATGAATACAAAGAATACACTTCTAAATGTTTAAAATATGGTTCTTATTTGTCATTGACCCTCCTAATACAAGCTGCTGAAGTCATGGCTGGCAAGGTATTAAAAGGACAGTTTAGGTGTCAAAAGAGTTGCTAATGGCCAGCAGTTCATTGATACGCTGACCTCAGTGCCGTGTGTCTGGGTTAGCCACAGACTTGCGTGCACAACACAGAGAGGATAGTTTACATCTTACCCTGTGGTCAGCAACGGCTCCATGGCGACGAAGGAGCAGGGTGACACTTTAGGGTTCAGTTTTAGCCTCTTAAGCCTCCCTCCTAGAGTTTAGACTAAACCTTTACAACTCCTAATGCCCTCTCCCAGGGCATAAGACACAGAATCCTCACTGAGATTCCGTCAAAGCCTCTTCGGGAACCACGGAGTTGGTTATCACTGGCACACGATACATTAGTGACATAATGTGAGCGGGTCTTTATGCTTCGGAGTCCTGGAGGCGCCCCTGATTTGAATTTCTCTCCTTTGCTTTGTGTTCAGGTATATGAGGAGCCAGTGACAGTGATGAACTCCGAGCAGGAAAGGCCGTACGTGTGCAGCGCCCCGGGCTGCTCTCAGGTGAGTCTGATAAGACAATAGCGAAGACGAATGCTCCTGTAACTCGAGAAAGCTCTTTCTCAATGTGAAACTGCACCACAGACAACAACAGTGAAATTCTATCTCGTTGAGGCAAATGTCATCCACTGGGTCTTGATATAAGATTCTTGGATTGGTATTTCTTTGGATGAGGTAGAATCCTCATAGATATGTTAAATAATCTCTCTCTTAATGCATATTTTCTTCTAGCTCAAGTTCAGTCATTACTGTGGTTCTCAACAGAGTTATTATATTTACCTAAAACTAAAACTAAAACCATAAAAAAAAGCCTATGTCACTTGAAATAAAATAAACTTCAACTTAAATAAAATATATAAAAAAAAACGTAAACTTATTTTATTCCAGCTAGAGGCCAAGGAAGCATTTTTCATTTTCACTTAGTTTAACTTAGTAAAATAACTAAAAATTAGGAGTCAAATAAAAATTAACAAAAGCTGTACAGACATATATATATAAAAAAAGACAAAATACAGCAAAATTACAAAAAATAGCTAAAATTAAAGTGAAAACAGAAAATATAAAAATAAAACAAATTCAAAATATTAATAACACCTATAATAATATCTCAATGATACTAAACTACCACTAGTTTTCAACTAGTTTTGGTTCAGGATCCATGATGGCGACCCAATAACAACATTGCTTATGATACAAAGATTTTAAAAAATGAATCAAAACCTACTTTGAAATGCATTAATATTACCACGGACTGTAAAGGTCCAACAATATGTACAAATACTGATATGACAGATATACAAACTGAAAAAAAAGTACTACAAAATACAGATTTTGATTTGATTTTGAAGTGCTTTCCTGCCTTTTTAAAAATATATTTATTTTTTATCTCCTCCGTTATATAAATTATATATATATATATATATATATATATATATATA